TAATTTACAGATTTAAATGAGAAATTCAGTCTGCAATTAAACGCAACTCGATCTCGTTAACGTGGCTGTCGGCTTAGCGACCAATCAGAATGAAGCGGGAATTATTACATCCGCCATCTTTGTAAGCAATGGTAGCCGGTTTTCCTTGATCTGTGTTTTTTCAGCTATTTCTTTTGTGTAGCCACATAATTTAATGTTCCAGTGTGCTAAAATACCGCAATTATTGTAATACTCTAAATGTTGGCGCAAATTTTCTTATATTCGGCATTATTTTCTGGGTTTTTGCTGATGCTACTCAAGTCGACGTACTTCTTCAGGCAAGCTGGCTAGTCTTATATTATAAAATTTTAATCTGTTTTGCTTTGAGTATTTTTTCAGATATGGAGAACAGAAGTTAGTTTCTTTTTTGGCTAAAATATGTGTTGATGCCGCATGGGACTCTAACTGTCCAGTTATTTAATAAAAAATACATGATTACATGAACGCAGATATGACCGTTATTACACTGGGCGGTACATTAGGTTTACGTGGAAACGTTGCGGATGAATCCCCCCGAAATTCATAACAATTAGTAGTTTATAACCGATATATTGACTTTCTGTATGAGAAATACCATTTTATAATGAATTCATTTATTCACAGTAAGAAAAATTTCAACAGCCCCTCGAATATCTGATTCCAATTGGATTGTTTGATTATTGTTATTGTCTTATACATATTGTTAATCCTTGTATATAATTATAGACTTAGCTCGCATTAGTGAATAACGGAATTAAAATAAGTCAGATACGAGAATGAAGCTTTGTGTATATTTTGTACAATAGTTGATCAGAACAGACAATCAGAGAAACAGAGCTAAGTAAACGAAACAGATCGGAGAAGGTATATTAGCCAACTTCATTTAATCAAGTATGAATTGATATTTATGGTCAGACAAAAAGAAGTTACAGACATATGATGAGTAAGATTTTTAAAAAATACACACACATACGTTTACATAAAATAATAGCCAAGGTTAACAAGCGAATATCTGACAGGGTGGAAATATGACTTGAGAGGAATGAATAGATTGATCTGTGTCCAGAGGATAGAATAACCTATATGGGCTTGACATAGTACCATCGCCTTTACAAAATAGTGATTAATTTAGATCGAAATAATGAAAATGAAAACATTTAACGTTTCTAAGCAAAAATAGATAGTGGCTAGCAGTGGATTCCATGATGCGCATTTCTTCCTATTTGGAACTCGTTAGATGGATGTACCTGCATCTCAGAGTTGTTCACTCTGGGACTCGAACCCAGTACCTTCTGCTTCAAACGCCATCGCGTTATCCACTTAGCTACTGCTGAGTTCCAAAATGCACTTGATTGTTGAATAGAAGGAAGTTTAAATTCATTTGGTATTGTTTACCAAATGAATTTAACGTTTCTATTTGCAAATTAAACATGTATAAAACGTTCATCACAAATACATTTTATAGAAAACTATCTATAAAGGATCAAAACAAAATAATCAAATTAGGTTACATTATTGACGAAATACAAACTAACAAGATTAGAATAGTCAATATTTAGTAAACTTTTCTTTCAATTACTTAATTCAAGATTTTCATGATCAAATGGATTGGCGAGACTATAATTTATGGACGAATCGATCAGGTATTAGATAACAGATCTCGGATATTCGCGCGAAATTCACTCATCCATCTGGATAAATAGAATTTCGGCATTATATCTAATGTCATTTCGTGATGAAAACTCGAAACCTAATTTATAACCCTAACCATCTACTGTAAATCATAATTCTAATTTCTCACACTAATTTATAACAGTCATTTGGTCCTAGTTATCAGGTGGACACTCTCAGGTTCAGTCTAGCGTCGCTCAAAGGTCAACCATAAATTATAATCTCACCAAGGAATTAACATGATTGGATAAAATAATTTCATGGAAAAATCAACCAAAGTAAATAGTTCAGGTGAATTTCTTTCTATGATAATCTTGTAAAAGTATAAAAAAGGATAGTTTTTTTTTAAAGGTTTTGTTTTGAGTGTTTTTCAATAAGCACTTATCTTGTGATTACTTCACGTGGATTAATCGATCAAATATTGATTTTTATGTTTTGTGATAATAGTTAGTTACAAACTTAATTCATCATAGAGGTTTTTTGTTGGAGTATCAAGAGATCCAAAACAATTGACCAGTTATCGAAGTTTTACCGAAATCAGACCAAGTACCTATATATCCTTACAAAAAACTTATCCATATATATTCAAAAAACAAACAACAACATAAAAGATGGATAGTGGCTAGCAGTGAAACCCAGGATGCGCGTTTCGTTCTGTTTGGGACCCGTCAGCCGGATGTACTTGCATCTCAAAGTTGATGTTCACTCTGAGACTCAAACTCAGTGCCGTTCGCTTCAAACGCCATCGCGTTGTCCACTTAGCTACTGAGTCCTGATAGCCATTTGCTTGTGCAATGGGGTGAAGTTTAATTCACTTGGTATTGTTTTACTTGAATCTTCCCATTGATGTTTTAGGATTGAAATTGATGCACATATGCCAATAACAGACTGATCAATTTCAGTCCTAAAACATCAATGGGAACAATCAAGTAAAACAATACCAAGTGAATTAAACAACATAAAAGATGGAAGGAATAGATAAACCATGATGTTATTTATTAATTCACTATATTATTTTGTTCGAAGCATTCTATTTGTTTATCATTCTATTGTATTAATTCAGTGTTATATTCGTTGGTATAGATTCGGTAGACTTTTGTTAGTGAATGATTAGTGCAAATAAATTAATATATAAGTGAGTGCATTCGTCAGTCATTTTCATTCGAATCGTGAAGTGAATCTTCATCTGCCAAAAGTTTTTTTTCCTTTCTTTTCCTTGCATCGAGTCATATCCTAGTTCGTGCTTCGCAAGTAAAAAAAACCCAGCCTAAAACAACTGAAATGAATCAGATGACAGAAATGGTAACTTTCCTTAAAAAATAAAGCCCTTTATGCTACAAGAGATTTCAAGAATTCATAATCCACATTCTATTGATTCGAGTTTTTTTTTACAGATTTGGATAATTTTTTCATTGTCATGTAGGTAATTCAATACTATCATAGTTTACATGACAGTCTGATCTTAGTCAGACATTCATCGGAAATCAGGAAGTACTAGGTAGATGTTCTATCTCTGTAAAGAGTACCTCACTAGCTCACACCTACGACCCGATCCCACGCGCGAATGCCGAACCTTTAAACAAATTAGCTGGAAGTCAATGATTTGTGTGTCCAACTTCGAGCGATTCGCTAGATTGTGATGATCTCATCACTTTTTGTGAATAACCAATGTAAGTTATAAAAACTTCACAAACTCACTGCTAACTAACTTCAAGATAAACTTCATGAGTTCTGGTTAGAAGCTTTCACCAGTGAAGTTAAATCAGACAATCAAAGATATCAGCACAATATCGCTAATAGATTATTGTTAGACATACATACCATTAGGTTCTACACGTTCACGCGTGGGATCGGAAATCTTAAATCTTATCCGTAGTGGGGTCGTAGATGTTCACTGCTGAGATGCCCTTTACAGAGATGAAATATCTATCCAGCACTTCGTGATTTTCGATGGATGTCTAACTAAAATCAGTCTGTGATGAAAATTCGAAATTTCTCATGATCAAATCGAAACAATTGCAATAGGCTTTTTTTAAAACCGGATTATATAATCACATAATAAACGGTTGTCTATTTTTACTCAATGTTCTTAATTAGTATAAGATAATTTCTTTCACTTGTTAAAAGTGTTAGTTTGGTAACAATAATAATAATAAGCACAGAGATACAAAGTGACCTCGTAAAAACATCATCATACACATATATGCGTACAGTTTTATTGAAACAATTTGACTTCGACATCCATATTCATCGTGTTCAAACATCATAAGAATTATCTTTCCATGCTAACCATTTTCATTTTATCATTTTCTCATCACGTAAACATCTTTACAATGTTTCGTCATCCACTATTAGTATTTTCCCAAATTCTAATCTTCTGAATTCTTCATGTCCCTTATTTTCTTTCCAAATTCACTTCACTTTATTATACTCCTTAAATAACATCTTCAAGCCCTAATGTTTCCGATTATAGTCTTACTACCTCTACCACTACAGAATTTGAGTCGACAACTGCATCTCTGTGCTAATGTGGTATGGCAACTCGAACTGATGTACGTACGTACGAAGTTCTACGTTGTTAATGACTGACTGACATCATTCTACTATTTTACTCCAAAACATCTAGTCACATTGCATAGAACTATCATTGACAATTTTTTTTTAATTATCTTATTAACTGGGTCTATTTCCAAAAACAGAAATAAAAAAGAAGAAGAAAATTACAACTTTTTACATTTTGAAAGGTAGTGGTGGGATAAATGATGAAATTACCTGGTTAAAATGTCTATTTCTTCTATTACAATAATAGTACTTTATAGATTTGGTTACATAACAAATGAATCGTCACAATAGCACACACATAAAAGTCACCTATTTCATATGTGTTTAGATACTAAATATTTTGATAGATAGACATATCATAGAATAAAAGTAATAGTTTACTATTATGATTGGTTACAAAAGTTATTTTAACTCTAAATGGGACATATTGTATAATGTTAAATGTATTCATGCATAGTGTACAATAAAATTGAGCGATAAATGAACAGATGATTCTATCTATATAATTTTTCCATCTTGACATTTATCATAAGTTTATAATCATTTTTCTTTGGTTTCATCATTGTGATTATACTACTTATTTATAATTATCACTTGAATCTGTCATATTGCATTCATGAAATGAAATGAACTTTTTATGACATTTATCTAATTTCTATGGTGATTATTACAATTTTCATGTTCAGGATATAACACTTAATGAATATTATTATGATAATAATTAAGTAATAAATTAATCCAAATAAGTAATGACCAATTATCGAACAGAATTACGTATACCTGTTGAACGAAATAATAAATCAATAATCAATGATGATTACTTTACATTTGATGATAATTCAACATTAAATGACAATTGGAAATATAATAATAATAATAATATAAATAATTGGGATTCACGTAGTCGTCATACATCAAGTAATGAATATATTTCACATGATATACCATGGAATAAACGTTTACGTACAACATCAGCTGATCCTACAAGATATACCGATGTAGATTATTTATATGATGATATAAAACGTAGAATGGAAGAACATCGTAGACGATGGAATGAAGAATTTAAATTATTGAATAATGATATAGTATTACCTAGTCGATTAAAAAGTTCAAATGATATATTTAGTAGTAGAGAAACAATAAATTCTCCAAATTCACATGATATTATATCAAAAAATTCTTCATCAAGTGGTTATGAACAATTTCCAGATGGAAGTGTACATTTTGTATCAAATTTTAATCTTTCTGGTTATGATCCAGAATTACTTAAAGTATTTGTACGTGATGGTAAATTAATGGTTGTAGCTAAAACTGAACATAATCATTCTACTAACAGTCTTAATACAACTATAAATACAAATAATATAAATAATAATTCTTTATCATCTTTTCGTGAATATACTCATTCATTAAATTTACCTCCAGGTATAGATGATGAAAAACTTTCTGCTGTTTTATCACTTAATGGTATATTAACTGTAAGTTGTCCTATGAAACCACCATCATTTTCATCAACAACAAATTTACAATCACCTTATTCTGAAAATTTATCAGATTCATTTTGGAATAATCATCATCAATATTATCGTCATCATTATCGATCACCAATTATTAAACCACAACAACAATATTCACGAAAAATTGACTTGAAATCACCTAGATTCAATCATTCTTCACGTTCTTCACATTCAGATTATGATATTATATCACGTGATAAACAAGACTATCAAAGTCGTCATCCGTCTTCTTCAATTCAAATAGAACAACAAGAACAACAACGAAAACATAGATTTCGTTTAGAACTACCAATTGATTCAGAATATTCACCAGGAGAAATACAAATTAAAACTTTGAATCGTCGCATTTATATTAAAGCACGTCATGAAGAACGAGGTCCAAATCGTACTTCTGTAAGAGAATTTTCTAAAGAATACGACATTCCGGATAATATTGATCCAGAAAGTCTTACTGCTAAATTTAGTAATGGAATATTATATATTGAAGAACCAATTGTTTAAATTATTATTAAACTTAATTCAAATATCATTAATGATCATAGTGAATTAGTTGTTTGATATGATTTCTCATCTTAATACAATCATGATTACGATTTTATTTCTTGTTTACCTATTCTTCAATATTTTGGTAAATTAATAGAAGAAAAAGAAGCTAATTAAAATTTTCTAAAGCTGTGTATATGATGTTATCATTTAAAAGAGATTTTATGACAATATAATCATATATGATAGTAGTATCATTAGTTTAGTTATTTCTTATATCCTACATGAAAGTGACTGGAATCTCACTTACATGTTGGTTGTTATTGTTGTTGTTGTCGTCGTCGTTGACGTTGCTTCTTTTTTATAGTTTCAAGTTCATATTTTTCTACTTAAATCACATTAAGTCATTATTCCTTTTAAGAAATAAAATTTATTTTCACATTTTTTTTGGAATTAATTATAATAGTTAAACTTTATTTCCTTGTTGTGTGTGTGTGTTTTCTGTTGTTGGCAGAAAACAAATTATTATAAGAAAGGGGGGTTTGTAGAGATTTTAGTCATTTTATAGTTGAATTCATGAGTCAATTGAAGCTAGACTACCATGGAAAGCCTGGATATACTGGACGGCTGATTCGTCCTCCACGATCTTGTCCAGCAACAATCGAACCCAGGACCTACCTAGATACCACTGAGTTCACGAAATTGAGTGACACATCCATCATTGTCTTCAGTGAGCTACAACCTCACAACAGACGTAGTTGGACTTCACTGATCACTACTGCTCACTAGAACCCCAGGAAATACCTCTTGAAGCCAGTCACTATTAAGCATATGAGGATAATTATCAGAAGGCGGATTTTGTCGAGATTTTAGTAATTTTATAGTTGAATTCATGAATCAATTGAAGCTAAACCACCACTGAAAACCTGAAAGCACTGGAAAGCCGTTTCGTTCTAGTGTGGAACTCCTCAGTAGTGCGCTTCCACAATCCCACCCCACGAGTTTCGAAATCAGACAAATTAACTAATGACTAAAAGAGAAACAATTTCACAACAATTCATACTACTAATATTTGAGCCTAAATAATGGAGAAAATGTTACATTTTATCTTTGATCATAATAATTTCATTCGTTTACCTATTTTTATCAGTAACTGTTCATTATTAAATACACTTAAAAGAGAATTGAATAGAATAATTAGAAATTAATAGAATTGATGTAATAAAACCAATACAGTATGTCAATCATTGAATACTCAATTATATTTGAAAACAAACGTAATTTATTTACAGATATGATCATATTACTATTTACAATTAAAACAAATTATGTAACGTAATTTAATAGTTGAAGTGAACGTGTACTAAAATAAGATGATTCGAAGAAAAAAAAGAAGGAATCAAGAAATAATTAGTTTATCGTTATATACTACTCACTACATCTATATTCAACCAATAATATAATGAATAAAACAAAAGGATTTTTCAAAAGGGGATTTTGTAGATATTATAGAAATTTTATTCGTCGAGATCATGAAACAATTGGAGCTAGACAATCATGGAAAGACTGGAAGCACTGAACAGCTGTTTTGTCTTATTGTGGGACTCTTCAGCAGTGTGTGCCAGTGATTCCGTCTCACGAGATTCAAACTCGAGACCTATGAATTCAACTATAAAATTACTGAAATCTCCACAATATCCACCTTCTCATATTAATCAACATATGCCCACTAGTAACTGGCTTCAAGAGGTATTTCCTGGGGTTCTAGTGAGAAGTAGTGATCAGTGAAGTCCAACTACGTCTGTTGTGAGGTTGTCACTCATTGATGAAAATGGTGGATGTGTCACTCAGTTTCGTGGATTAGTTAAAGTTAAATATTAACACAGTTGGATGCAGGCCGACTCAGTGATGTAGAGGTTAAGCATTCGCGCATGAGACTGATAGGTCCTGATTTTGAATCTTGCGAGGTGAGATCGTGGTTGCGCATTACTGAGGAGTCCCACAATAAGATAAAATGGTCGTCCAGTACTTCCAGATTTTCCATAGTTGTCTAGTTTCAATAGATTCATGATCCCAACTAGTAAAACGATTTTTACTGCTTCAGCTCGTCTCGGTTCCTTTTTTTTAAAAAGGTTTTCCATGTTGAATCATTACTTCTTTGTGGTTTAGTCAGAGTGAACACTATTAGTAGATAACATTAACAACAAGTGTATTATCGATTCAAAAGAATAGTTACACATCTCAAAGTAGTTGTATCTTATCACTACATACTATTATTATTATGCATTAAAAGAGCTCTTCTGGGTGTTGATACATAAAATTCTATAGTGTTATACCTATTCTCTACAAAAGGAATCTGGTCACATCTCTTGAAAATAAAGCAAGAAGAGATCTGCTTAAAGGATACCGTGAAGAAGCAATTAAAGTTTATGAGCGACATACTGAGGGAAATAAGCTATTGGCGAAGTTTCTTATATAAGTACATACATGCACAGATAAAAATAAATTGAAAAATGTTGACCGCTCTTAAGAAAACTTTATTCCTAAAACTGAAACTCAAAGGGAATGTGGCTAGCAATGTCCTGTATAGTGAATCAACAAGGGCAGTTAACAAGACATTATATATTTGACATGGTTTATTGACAAATGGTTACTAATCCCATTTACATACTTTGTAGATATATGAACAGTGTTAGCTGTTTGTATTCTAAGTCAACAGTATTCATTGGTTAAGTTTCCTGTACAGATTTTCAATATTCTGATTGACTGTTTTCAAAATGTTAGTAAAATAGTTGAATCTTGTGGTTATTATTGTCTCTACAGATGTCTATTTTAAAAGGCAATTTAACATACAGATATTAATGTTCAATCTTTTCGGAGATACTTAGCTAAATTCTCATAGAATTGCTTAACTCCTATAGAACATTCGTTTTTCTAAGGTTATAATAGATTTCAGTAAAACGGAAACAAACAAATTTTCTATCTCACACTCTTCACTTGACTATACCTATTTATATGTAAGTCTGAGTGATCTTACTGAAATAAGAAACCTTAACCTATTGATTTAAAAACGTACAAATACATTATTGAGTTATGATAACAATATGTTGTTATGATTCGGTTTTGTAAAATCCTGTTGTTTAGTTTCTACCCTGAATTAATAGGCTTTTACAAACCATTGTATGATGCAGTCAATACATCACAATCAATGTCAAGAAATTATGACCCCATCATGGATAGAAATAAGGATCTACAAGCCTCTGAGCAAAAGCTTAACCTTCAGACTATTGAGTTGGCTTTCAATAGTTTATATTTCTAACTTTAGTTAATTTACGATAGAATGAAAATTATTCATTCATATTAGTGACATTTGTTTCATATTTGACATGGTTGAACTCCACCAGCAATGTTTTCTCATTCAAAGTTAGAGAATCAGAGGTAAATAAATTCTCATCTAAACTAAATAACAAATTAGCCTTATAAATAAGAACTTTCGTCTAAATTTAAACGAATAGTTTCACAATATCTGGGCGCATAGTCAATGTGCGTCATTGTTAACGTTGATCGGATGACCTGTACAGTATACATTAAACCAGAGAACCATGTACCTATTTATATCCGATAATTTTGTTGTTTGATTATATTTTCCTTGAAAAAACTTGGACCAGATTGCCAGGCGAAACGTTGGATTCACTTCAAGTTCTTTCACTGAGATTTTACAAATACATTCTTCCTCTTTAAGTTAGCCTTATGCCTATTATATTTCAGAGCTACAGCAAATAAATTCCAGTTGAAATTATTACTTTTAACTGGATTTACAACGAATGTGTAACATTTGATGGTAGGAAAAATTTCTTAGATGATCGTGACAAGACAAATCAGGGAAATATATGGCGATTGTGATTTATTGATTTATTGATTAGATGAGATAAATTAATGCATGATTGTAGTATATTTATTAGTGAATACCTATGATAATAACCATCGTTTTATGGTTAATTACATTTCTATACTATGTAAGTAAATAAAAGTTAAAATGTCGTTCAGAATGTAAATTTGTTGTACTTATGACAACTAAAGATTATACTACTTATATAAGTAACTTGCTTAGATATAATGTTGAGAAATATCTGTAGGTATCCGTAATTGTAACAGACAAACATATCAATATGGTACATACGAACTAACATACTGGATAAAGAACATATACAATGAATGTTTGAACTTGAAATGAAGTCGTTATTAAAAATTACACTGTGATTAGAAAGACTCATCTAATAAACTAATGGAATAAGGTCTGAAAGTGTTGAATTTAACATATTTATTGAATCTTGAAAATATTGTGTATAATATGGAACATTCCTGTCGTTTGCTTACAACTACTGACAATTAGATTTTACTATTTCATGCAAACTAGTCACATAGTTACAAATTAACCAATAAATTCCTTTTAAAAAAATATTATATAAACAAGAACCTGTCACGTTTTTCTCCAATAATTGATTTCTTATAATGGTAGTTCTTAGTTTTATCGGTAATGAAATGTACTTTAATAATCTAACTAGAAGTATCTGTTTAAAAAAAAACGGGGAATAGTTCAGTGTACTCTGTTGGATATTTTGTATTTTTTTAATCATTTCCAGTGGTTTTATACTGTTAAGGTCAACTCACTGTATGTAAACTGAAACAATTTAAGAAGTAATAAGAGTTTCTATGGATTGAAATTTAGTTTAATTTATACTGATTCTTATCAGAAGGGGTTTTGTAAAGATTGTAGTAATTTCAATAGTTGAGATCATGAGTCAGTTGAAGTAAGACAACTATGGAAAATCTGGAAGTACTGAATGGCCATTTCATCCTATTGTGGGACTCCTCAGTAGTGAGCATCCACGATCCCACCTCGTGAGATTCAAAATCAGGACTTATCAGTCTCACGAACGCTTAACTTCTACACCACTGACTCGGCCGGCATCCAACGGTGTTAATATCTATCTTCAACTAATCCTTGAAATTGGGTG